GGACCGCGGGGCCCCCTCAGCAGGCCGGGCCGGGCCCGCAGGGGAAGCAGCGGGCCGCGGGGCTGCCTCAAGCGGCGGAAGCGGCACCGCGGGGTCCCCTCAGGCGGGAGGACGGGGCAGGGCCGCGGGGACCCCTCAGGAAGGGGCAGATCCAGGCTCCCTGCCATGGCTCTGCTGTGGGAGGTGAGCTCAAACAACACAACGTTGCTGGTTTATTTAAGTTTGTCACGCTTTGGGGGATTTTTGGATGGAAAATAAAGTAGTGCTGAAAGTGCTTCTTGCATGACCTGCTCTTCTTCCTAAAATACCTGTGAGTCGGTGCGATGCGTGTGTTTTTCCCACTAGACAATGAATGACTGGGCCCCCATCGCGAAGGAGTATGACCCCCTCAAAGCCGGGAGCATTGATGGCACAGATGAAGAGCCCCACGACCGTGCCATATGGAGGGCTATGTTGGCACGCTATGTACCCAACAAGGGAGTTACGGGAGATCCTCACCTCACGCTGTTCGTAGCAAGGCTCAATCTTCAGACAACAGAAGAGAAGCTAAAGGAGGTCTTTTCCCGGTATGGAGACATCAGAAAGATCCGTCTGGTTCGAGACCTGGTCACAGGATTTTCCAAGGGTTATGCATTTATTGAGTACAAAGAGGAGCGTGCTCTCTTGAAGGCCCACAGAGATGCCAACAGGCTGGTTATTGATCAACATGAGATCTTTGTAGACTTTGAACTGGAAAGAACTCTAAAAGGATGGATTCCTCGGAGGCTTGGAGGTGGTTTTGGAGGCAAAAAAGAATCCGGGCAGCTACGGTTCGGGGGACGGGACAGACCTTTCCGAAAGCCCATCAATCTGCCAAACATGAAAAATGACTTCTATGGAGAAGGATCAGCAGAGAAAAGAAACTGGTCTCGTGAAGGAACAAGGGACTGGAGAACAAGGGACCGAGACCATGAAAGGAGCCGAGACAAGCGATGGCCAGAAAGGGAGCGGTTGTGGGCTTGGGGTGAAAGTGAGAGAGAGAGGGACTCCAAAGAGGAGAGGAGCAGAGGGAGGGAGAGGAAGGACAGAGACAGGAAGGACAGGGATAGAGACCGGAGCAGGGGAAAAAAAAGAAACAACGAGACGACGATAAGCATCGATAGGTGACAGTGCCTTGTCGTTGGGGTACGGTTTCTGCTCTTACGTCATCGTGTTTCGGTTGTAGATGTTACCATCAGCCCGGGGCTGAGAGCAGCTCTCCCTGACCGAGGAGCTGTGCTGATACTGCCTCGTGCCTGTGACTCGCTTGCTGGAAGTGCTCTGCAGTTCCGTTGCTCATGCGGTTAAGATCCCTGTTCTTGAATCGTTCTTCAGAGAAAATAAACTTTTGCTTACTGTTTTTGAACTGGTTAATGCTGTGAGAAATGCACTGCATGCACAGGCACCCCACTGAAATTGAGTGCATGCCTCGTTTGATGCCTACCTGCCTGCCTGGAGTAGGGTTCATGGGAGAGCTCCCTGTTCAATTATTTATGTGCCAGATGTGCACAGTCATTTAGTGACACAGGTGCCCTTTATGAAATAATCATTTGTTGAAGAACTAGTAATCAAATAGCAACAAACTAGGCTGCTGAAAAATGTGGCCCAAACCAGAAGCTGATGGGAAGTGACTTTATTGACTCTGGGACAGGTGAGATCTTTAGTAATACTTTAGTAATACTAAGTCCTTAACTTGTTCTGTGAGGTGAGAGAGAAGCACATAATGAGAAATCTAGTTTTTACATCATGGGAGGATGTAATTCCCTTTAATTAGAGGGATGTGCACTACAGAGCAGTAAGCGGGTCAGAAAACACCTAATGTTCCTGATCGATCCATGGACAGTCACTGAAGGACGGTGTCACTGTTAATGTGAGTGCAGCTGCACCCACTCTGTCCTCGTGCCTGCGCAGGGTTTAAATCTGGTTCTGGAAGCTGCACTTGCTGCTGAAAACAGAGGGCAAAGCTTCTCCTTTTTCCAGAGCCAGGGTGTGTGTATACAGACACATCTTCCCTTGAGGAGCTTACAGTGCTTTCTAGAAAAGGCTCTGTTCTGTTTTTGTCATCATAGGCAATTCCTAAATATTTGCTAATGTATTTTAAGCTGTTAATTTTCTGTCAACCTTTGAATGGCTCTGTTCTAAACCTTGCCCAGTTTGAGGCTGTATTTCCACGAAGGGTTGTATGAGCTTTTTTTCCAGGGGAAAGAAGACAGACCTGTATGCTGCATCCCCAAGAACAACAGATGGTATTAACTTTCCAGAAAAAAAGGACACAAGTCTTGCAGAAATACTTGTTTTTCATAAATATTTATTAAACTGTTAAAATTATTTACTGCCCAACCAAAAAAAAAACAAAACAAAACCAAAAAAACCTACCCAAGAAAACTTCAGTGATCCTGCACTTTGCAGCCAGGACTGTTACACCCCTCACCTGACGGCATCCTGGCCCCTTTTCTAAAAGCAGATTTGACTTGAATACTGCAAAACAAGACACGACAGATCTTCAAATCTTTACATACTCTGCCCTACCCGCCGTCCTTTCCGATGGCGCTTGGAGTGCATAAACTCAGCATTTCTAGCATGAGCAGGAGGAGCGAAGGGGTTAATGCTAGCAGGTCAGGAGCGACTAATGAGAGTTTTGAGGTAAGGGGCTACAGAGATGAGCGGGGCTGTACTGCTCAGTGCCGCTGTTTGACCTGGCTGCAGGTTTGACCTGGCAGCAGCGCACAGGGCTCGGGCTCTGGCTCTGTGGGGCTCTGCTTTTTGTGCTCTCGGCTGGCAGCTGAGGTGCTGGGAGAACAGTTCAGTCTGCGAGCTCCTGTTGTCCCAGCCCCTCCTGTTGTCCCAGCCCCTCCTGTTGTCCCAGCCCCTCCTGTTGTCCCAGCCGCTCCTGTTGTCCCAGCCCGTGGCTCTCGGCTGAGGTCAGCAGTGATGTGCTCATTCAGGCCGTGCATCCGCTGCGCTCCTGCATTGTTTGTGCTCACTGCATCTCTTCTAAATGTGCCAAACGACTGTGAACTGTGCTCGTGAGAGACTCCACAGGCATCACTCACAATTTGCTTTAACTGCCTGATAAAAATGTAGTGTTCTCTTTTTTTTTTCCCCTAAGATGGAAGTGAAATCGAGATTGTTGCAACTTAATTATCATTAAATTAAGACACTTTCCCTCATTGAAGAATTGCTTTTCACACAAGGGGGAAAGTGCTGCCGTTTTACGGATACAGCTTTCTGTATGCATAAAACTTAAGATATGTTACCAAAACAACCAGGCAAAAGCATATTTGCCCAATACTGACATCGGACGCTACTGTCACTATTTCAGCTGCAGGTGTCCTTCATGTAAGGCCACATGCACCCCTTGCCCCGACCTGCGCTGACACCAGGGAGGCACCGTAAACCCCTGCTCTGCCTGGAGCAGAAGGGCTGTGTTCAAAATAAGGCCCAGCTGCAGCCAGAAGCAGCGCAGCTCCCCCTTGCAAAGAGCGGGTTCATAGAATCAGAGAAAGGATTGGGTTGGAAGGGACCTTTAAAGCTCATCCAGTCCAATCCTCCTGCAGGATGCAGGGACAATGTTACCAGATCAGGTTGCTCAGAGCCCCATCAAGCCTGACCTTTCCTGGCACAGTTTCACTACAGCTGGGCTAAGAACTCTTTGATGCTCATAGACATTAAAGAATCCAGAGAGTCTTGAATTGCCCTGCGTTAGAAACAACTGGCCTGCACTAAACCCTCTGGCTCGCTCTCATCTAGGAGTCCACCGAGATTTCCTCCGACATCCAGCACCTGCAGTAGCTGGATCTCCATCCTGAGCACTCTCCTGTTCTTGGTGCCACTCCTACACAGAGCAGATGCAGTGGCTGGGGGTAAGGTGCCAGCAGCAGCTCCCAGCCCCCTGCCCCTGCTCCACACACAGAAGCTGCCTTCAGCCCTGTGATAACTGGATCCTCCCCACAGCCCAGGGGATGCAGACCTGAGGGTCTTGCAAAGCAGATCTAAATCCCACCCCCAGCAGTTCAGCTGTGCTGGGATTTTGCTGGCAAGTTAAGGCCCTGTAACTGCAGGCGACCCAAGCATCAGCCAGCACACCCAGAATTCATCTGCTCTGCCCACGTAGTGTTTAGAGTAGTCAGAGAAAACGTTTTGAGTTGGAGCCATCTCTACGTCAGTTAAAAGGGTTCATGTTGAGGATGTCTTTCACTCTGAGGTTAGGCAGTCTGATCTAGACAGAGAAGTGGAGTGTGACTCCATTAGAAACCTGTCTGTGGGAAGGAGACCCAGTTCCTTTGCAGCAGCTGTCTGCTGCTCTAGGGGGACGTCCCTCTTAAGAAGGAAAAATTCCAAGTGTTAGAATTCCTCCTTGTAACCAGTTTGTTTTCCGTTAATACCACAGAACCCATGGCAAAATGCAAGGCACGCTCACCTCATACGTCAGTTTCTTCCTGCTTTAGGCACTATAAGCAGCAAGGGAAATGTGCGCTCACTCTCCCTCTCAAGGCTACTCCAGTTTTTCAGTTTGTATCAGGTGGATTTCCAAGCGGTTCCTCTGCACAGCGCAGCTGCCAGCTGAGCGTGACAGGACACGGCAGTGCCACGACCTGCCATGGAGAGCAGGCAGCTGTCCTATCCCTCTTGAAAAACTTCTTACAGAAACAAAAAGCAAACAACCGATAGTGTTAACAAACAGGGTAAAAGAGTCTTTGCCACTAGATATTGTACACTGCAAACAAACTTCTAATAATGGCACAGGTCCTTTTTTGGTTTAAAGAAGCTTGTGTTACTGTTGTTAATGCATGAACAAGACCATAGACTTGTTATTCAGCACAAAACAAGTCACCTAGAAGCTCCGATGTCCCAAGGTATCAGCGACTGTTACTACAAAGCTTGGATTCTGTTTTCAGCAAACAGTCACCAAGCAAACAGCGAGGGACCCCTTCTGAAGAGTGCATCTGAAACACAACCACCGAGGAGGGCAAGGCAAATACAGGTGATGAGCTGCCGCATTCGTCTACAGAAGCTTCTCGTTTCTAGGCTGTCGGGATCTACTGCGGTAACCCCAACACCTCAGGGTCATAGTCACAGGTGCTGCAGGGCTTCTTGTCCTTGTTCGGTGTAGGAGTCATCTCGATTCGAATGTGACCATTCTCCAAAAGTACCCTGGAAGTGGACACTTTTCTGTGATGCCTGCATACGCTTCTTATCACGAGAGAAGAAACTAAACCTTCCGGGAAGGGAGGAGTGAGGAAGGGAACAGAAAAAAAGACAGTTTACCATCTTGAAAACGCTTCAAACGCCCGACACGATGCACAGCACAACAAAACACAGCAAAAAAATCTGCTTGCATCTGCAAAAATCGAGGCAGTTAAGCCTGATGGGAGTGCATGTCACAATGTTATTAGAGATGAAGTCTCAAGCGGTTTGGCTACGGAAGCTTCAAAATAAGCTCTAAATGCTGTTGACTCTGCAAGGTGCAGGTATCATTTTAGATGTACATTCCCCCTTCCCCAGCCCTGAGATAAAGAAGCAACACTGCGCAGGTTAGTTTCTTAGCATAAGTAAAGTGGTATCTTTGGCATTACATCTGTATAATTGACCATATAGCAGAAATAGAAAATGTTTTTAAGGGTGTCAGCAAGGAAACTCATAGGATGAGAAAATAAGCCTCTACATTTGTACCAAGTATACAGATTTTGATACATAGACTTGATTCCTGCAAAAATAAATGCACGTACGTGCACAAGGGTTTGCAGGATGAAGGCTCTAAACAAATGCACATGAGGGTGCACGTCATTTCCTGTCACACGGCTTGGGTGCGCTGAGATAATGACGTACGTGAACCAACAGCCATTCAACACAGCAACAAACTGCCAGCTGACAACACAGCTAGAAAAGTACAGTTGGGAAAATCCTTGGAATCGTTTCATCTCTATAGGATGAAGTTACGTGGTTAGGCACGCCCGATGTCTGTCACGAGTTCAGCACAGGAGGTGTTAGTGCAGTGTTTAGGTCTGCTGAGAAATGCAAAAGTTGGGGTCCCAGCCACCCTGTGCGGAGCAGGGAGCTCTGCCTCCCATGTCTCTGCTCACACAGGAGGCAGCTTTCCTGAAAAAATATCCTATCATACGTGCAGGTAAGCATCGCAACGGTTATTAAAAATATAAAAAAAATATTAAAAATAATTATTTCTTGACTGGAGAGCTTCACAAGTGCAATGCTACATAACCAACATTGCTAGCAGGACCCGAACTTTGCATTTCCTGGCTTCAAATGTGCAGCCTTAATAGTGGAAGAAGTCTTTCACACTTAAATAGCCTCATACTTTTCTACCACCTTCGTCACAGGAGCTCGTAAATTCACACACATATGCTATATCTTTTCAGGGCCAGATCCAATTCCAGCTGATAAAAGAAGTGTGCTGTCACCGAGGCTTTCTGCTGAGCACGTTTGGTCCTGTGTGGTCAGGCTTAGTACCCTGAAGTCCACACAAAGGACTGCTGTATTTATGCAGTAAGTTTCAAATGTCGGAGTTCAGTCATTTTTCACTTTATGATGAAATGAAGTAAGAGAAAATTACGTTTGTCCAATCTCTGCACCAAGCAGAAGGGTTAGGCTTTTTTATTTCCTTCCGAAACAATGAAAATTGTTGTTATGCCTAAAAAGCTCTCATGGAGATGTTTGGAATAAGCATGTCTGTGTGGAAAGGAAGGGAATTTAAATACTGTCTTGCTGCTGTAAATATAAAGATCACTAAAGCAACAGCTCTAAGGCAAAGAGACTTTGCATTAACAATTACCAGTACCTCTGCCAGGGACAGCCAAGGATAGGATGATAGAACTGATTGAGTGTATACTGTATCCCAAAGTATGTAATTAGAGACAAAATATACAGTGCATAGATAGAAAGACACAGAAGCAACAGCCTATAACTAAAACTGGAAACTAATGTAGATATCGGGCATTACATTCTGTAAATCTAACCGATTTGAAACAAGTTATCGGAACACATTTGTGTGAATTGTGAATAGGCACACTTAGTGAGCAAAAGTAACAGATGCTGGTTAAAACTGCATGTTGCAACAGTTTTCTAAAGCATAATGATTGGTTTAGCATGGTAACATTAAGGCAAAAGGAGATGAAATGTCAATACTGGGGGAGGAGCATGGAGGACTGCGATGAGCTGTGTACTGACTGGTCATTCTGATCAGCACTTTGCTCTTCTGTGATCCCACAGGCAGCTGATGAGAATGCGACCAGCAGTGCATGTTAACACGGGGTCATGCAAAAGGAAACCATGGTACCAAACATTTAAAAAAATTCCTACAAGGGACACAAGTCTTCTTATTGGCTGCAATGTGGGATCGTCTGGAATCAATCCAGCTGCTACCATGGGCATTATGGCTGTAAAGATCCTGGGCAGGAAAGTACAGACACAGAAGAGGTAAGACTGGAGCAAAGGGAAAGAAAAAGCATTCCATTAAAAAGAAAAGAGGCAAACATGATACACGGGGTTACTCTGAATTACCACACAGGACATGTTACAGGGAGAGGTGCATCTGCATCACCCAAGACAGCCCTCCTCAGTGAAAAACTCTTAAAAAAAAGCAGTCACTGTAACAGCTCAAATTGCTTTTGGATTTCTAAAAGATACCACTTTTCTGTTGTGAGGCAGCCTGCAATCTGTGTTGGATTTCATCAAGGTATTACCACCTCTAGCAATGCAGAGCAGAGTGCACATTTTTCTTCCCAAGAGACAAACAGGCACATACAAAATGAAATGAAGGATGAAGGTGTATGTTAAGAAATACAGAACAGGACTCTTGTGTCCACTGGATATTTGCACGGAAAACAGGGTTAGACAGGACCAGCATTACCATTAAGGATTTTACAAGTGTTACAGTTGATAGTTTCAAGTTAAAAACCAGTATTGCAGGTGAAATCTTGAAATAACCTCCTATGCAAGCTACTTGGTTAAAGGGCCTGTGTATCTGTTCCAAAGGGACCTGCATTGCTTCACATGCAGAAAGATGCCAACTGCAGGCAGCTAAATACTGCTTCAAAACCTTGCAGCTGCTCCAGCAGAAACACCTCCTGCAGCAAGACTGTTTCTTTGTAAGAGTTCAGCGCTTGCACCACGCGTTACACAATTCATGCAGCTCAGAGCCAAGAGAGCCGCTGCCTCGCTGCTCTGCACCCGGCCAGCCCCACACAAACCTGCCCACACCCCTTCGTCCGTACCTGCAACACCCTCTGCTTTTCTAAGGGCTCTCCTCAGAGGTTCTCCCTTGTGCCAAATATTTTTTTGAACTGTGGACTAATGTCAATTAAAGATTTAGTTGAAATCACGAGAGACATTTCACTTGTGCCCAAATGCAGCTCTCCCCAACACAGCCACTCTGACTGCTGTTCTTAGATTCAAAATGAAAACAAACAAGCAAACATTGTTGTATCATTTGCAGTAGCTAGAACTTCTATTTTTACGCATTGTGGCATGGTCCGTTAGCTGCAGAAATGAGAGAGACACATCAGCTTTTGTGGACCGCAAGAATAGGAAGAAAACTTCTGGCTGTTTGGGGCATTACATCAGGGACAAACAAGCACGTATCCTTAAAGAGAAAACAAAAGGGTGTTTTCTGCTCAAAACAGAAGGAGCATTTTTAATCCTTGTTCTTTTCCTCCTCAGTGAAGCCTCCTGGCTACGTTATTTCATCAAAACTCTGACACATGACGCAGTAGAGACAAATGCAGAAATCAATCGCTCTGAGATCAGAACTCTGTTAAGAGTTTGCCCCAAATGTGCAAACCCTGCGAGTGAAATAATGCCAATTTCTGTAAGTTCTGTTTTCCTTTCTTTATGGGGATGAGCACAGAATCAGCCGAGCACATCTCAGATGGCACAGGCTACACCGCATGTGTCTCATTCCCGGAGATGCTGTGCGGTCAAGGGAAAAAGGGCACATTACAAAGGCAAGATAAAGCTTATCTTGAGAGGACAGCATCAGGCTCCTATTTTTGTACTGCATCCTGTTTATTCAGGAGGAGAAGTCTGAAACGGAGGGAAAAGCAACCCTACTTTCATTCATAGCAGCAGCCTGGATGCAGATACAAGTTTTCTTGACGCCATTAGGCATGAGAGTCAATGTGCTGGTGGTTCCCCAGCACAGCGTGGTGCTGAGCACTGCAGGAGGGTGCTCTGACAGGGCAGAACAGCTGCTGTGCTTGGGTCCTTCCTTCTTCCACGACATTTCCTGTCTTTTAAAAGCCCATCTACAAGTGCACTGTTGACAGCACACACAAATAAACCCACACTAGATGAATCCCATCCAGACAGGCTGCAGGAATAAGACCAACCTGAAAACTATTACCGTCCTTCAGGTTACTCAAGTGGACAGTTTTATCTTCCCTTATTTAATGTGATGGCCAAATGAAGAGAGAGCAGAAAGAAACCTGAGGACAGAGCACGACAGCTAAAGAGTAATTTCATCTTAACAGCAGGTTTAATGTATGCTTCCGCTGTCTGGTGGAAGAGGACTCTTGCTTTTTCTGAAAGGGGCCAAACCAACGTGATTTTATGTTTCCCTGTGTGTGGGTTTAGTTATGTGAATTTAACACAGAACCTGAGAATCGGAAAGGTTAGACAGGTGTCTGAAAATGTGCGCTGAGTGACTGGTGTGGTGCTCTACAGGTTTTCACTGATGAATGACCTGAGGAAGCCAGCACTGGGATCAGCTGTTGAAGAGACGTGCGCCTCCTGCCAGGGCTCCCTGCGCTGCTGACGCGTGCGTGCAGAAGGCAGAGTCAGAGCTAACGCCTCGTCAGCACGGGCTGTCTTACAATGTCTGTCTGCATTTTTGTGCTGCCTTTGCTTCACAAATCGAGCACGGAAACTGCAATCAACACAGACTGCGTAAGCTGAAATGAGCCATCCCCCACTCGGGACAAGCTTTAAAAAAATTTAAAGGCAAAGAGCAGCTTGACAGTGGAGATCTTGTGAGACAAAGCATTGTTATCATCAGCACAGTTGCAGAATGAAGGCTTAAGTCCAAACTCAAAGTGTATTTTCCAGTTGTGTGAGAGGAAGGGTTCTCTCAGCAAACAAAGCAGCACAGAGAGGAGCTGGAGTCTACTGAAAGTACCAAAAGTGCCCTCCTGACTTTATGGTGTTTTGGGTCAGTCCAGATCTTCCAATGGGACTTATCTGACAGGACTATTGCTGTTATTAAACAAGGACTGAAGGTCATGGACACGGGGAGAGGATGGAAGAGCTTTTCATGTGGAAACAAAGGACTGTTCCAAAATCATTTATGCAGTTACAAAAGTTAAGCTTCCAGTCACAAAAATCCAGAGACTTGCTATAAGGTTACAAGACTTAATTTGGAATAAATAAATGTACGAGGAGGGAGTTTCAACAGACAAATGGATTGGCTAGCACGGTGATTTTAGAATTAAGTGATATACTTGTAAACGCACACCTCTGGCAGTCAGCTTAGGTTTCAGACAGCAACATTGAATACTTCACCAGAAGAAGGTGGGTTCTTTACAGCCAAGAAAGCTGGCACCCTCTCCACAGCAAATCTGTTCAATAAACAAAAGGGTTTTGTGCCCTACACATAAAGCAAGTCGGGGTCTAAAGGCTCAGGTCAGCAGGGAAATGGACACAGCACGATCACGGGGAAGCGCTGCTCTCCACACCCAACCACTACAGGTCTGCAGCTGGTTTTACTTGTGAACAACAAACACCCTGTACACATCTCAGCATGACCTGGAGGCCAGCGGTTCACCACGGTCAGATCTGTGTGTTAAGGAACTGGGACTTGCACTTGAACAGGAGCATTTTCCTACAATCCTTGCACTCCGAGACCCGGCACTGACGTCGGTTTTGGGCCCACAGGACAGGCTGAGCCGTGCTCTGGGTAAAACCACAGTCAGCAGCACCTCCCTTTGGAGTATGACTACATGGCCCCGACAAGACAACTCGCTAGGAAAATCAGGTGTTTAAGAGCTCATCAGCCCATACTGCCTACAGTAAAATGTAAGGTGTGCTCTTTTGGTTAGCCTGAATCGTGCACTTAAGAGGGAAACGTCAGAGCTGGAGTGGGCTTCTTGGGCACGTACACACCAGCACATGGAGTCCCTGCTGCTGTCTGCACGTAGGGAGCAAAAGGTACCACAGGAAATGATCTGAAAGTTGTCCCAGATCTAGGCCAAAGTTTTGGCTGTTTCGTGACACCAGTGCTCCCTCAAGGTCTCTCCCACATACATTACAGACGTGGTTATCTTAATTTTTTAATTCCTTAAAATTGTCCTACCCAGAAGAAACCTGTAGTGTGTGCAGACTGTACCCAGGATCCTTAGAAAAAGTGCTACTTACAGTCGTTTGATTCCGGATTCAGGCTGAGTTGAGGGTTTTGGCTGAATTATGGGTGTAGGCTGAGGGGATCTAGTTTCTTCTTCTGTTTCCTCACTTGAAAGAAAGAGGAGGCAATTAACGTTCTCCTCCCAAGCCATGGAAGAATTTTAAGTTCTAAAATTCAAACTGAGATAGTACTGTTGATGAAGAAATGCAAAAAGATCTGTTTAAAGCTCACTGACGCAAATGGGAGATTTTTCTGTCAGCCAAGGAACAGCACCAAGAACCGAGTCTCCTTCCAATATTTTCTTCCCATTAGGACAAGGGGGAGAGAAGAGCAATGCATTGAATAAAAGCTCTAGAATTTCAATTTTAGACCCACTCATCCTCATTTTTGAAGTTCAAGAGTATTAAATATTTGTAATCTTTTTAAGATTCAGGGGGAACTTAGGGAAGGACATAGTTTTTCCCAATTTTGAGGAACAAGATTCAAACTAAAGCCATAAGCTTGCAATCTCTACTTTAAGCCTTTGCAGAAATATAAGCTTGCTGGACACGATTTAAGAGCACATTTATTATTTCTAGACCTCTATGGCTCCTCTGTGTACAGCCTGCAACAGGAGAGGAGACCTCACCTACCTTTTGTAATATAAAAGCTCTTCTTGAAGTAAAAACACTTTAGATTTCAACTCATTCCTCTCATGAAGGACATCCCGGAGCTCCTGCAAGGTGAATCTTGGACGATTCGGATCTTTTAAGTCCATTGCCATCTTTTCTGACTCCGAGAGGCAGTCGTCATTGTTCGGCTCTGCCTGGGAAGTGAAATTTGGCCTTTAAATTCACCATCCGAGTGCATGTCTGAGGAGTCTGAAGTATTTATCAGTCTAGTTCCCAAACTCTTCCTTTCAGCACTATTAAAACCTCTTTTAAAAGAAACACAGCAATTTTAAGAGGAAGAAAATGTAGCAGGAATAAAGAGTGATGCAACCCAACAAGTGGTTCAAAGGAAATGAGCCAAATACTTTTCTTCACCCCTCCAGACTGGGTCTGAGCTGATGTCTCTTTTTTTTGACTGCATATTTGCCCACACCTTTGCCCAAATAAACCATTTTTGCTAGATCTTGCTCAAATTGGCAAAGACCGAGCAGCTCCTAGCAAATACAACTGTACTTGACCGAAGCCAAAAAGCAATGTCTGCTGCAGAGCAGGCAGCTGTTGTAGCTCTGCTCACCGCTGCAGTTCCCACCTCAGCACCATCCTGGCAGAGCAGCGGGAACAGCTCTAATTGAGGAGTCCCCATCACGGCAGAAGGGGTGAGGTGGGGAGGTTCACAGCGCACCCTTTCTCTGCAGAGACTGAAGTTCACTCCTGCTGGCTCCAGGCTCCTCAGCCCCATTTACAAAGCTGGGTGTCCTGGCTGAATCAACAGCAACGAAGTGGCCCTTTTCATTACTAATACAATGCTTGCCCAATTCAGCAGGGACATGTTAACACAACACTGGCTGTCACATTCCAGGGGGGACCAGGGTACCCCCCCAGCCTTTGCCTCTGCTTCTGGAGGTATGTTCCTGCCCACTACAGGTGATCCGGATGTTTCAGTCTCTGCTGCAGCCTGTCGGTGTTTACAGTGCCGCTGGGTACTGCGGCTCTTAGCAGCACATCCAGCCAACAGCTCTACGTGAGAGTGCTTCTCTAAGTTCTGTCATGTCACGGTACCCCTCATCCTATTTTGTACTCTTCCAGGAGCAGCATTAGGAAAGGCAAATACAGCACATTTGCTTTAGTAAGACAGAAGTAGTGTCATACACACAAAGGAAAATAATAGGAACCATGAAGAGGATTAAGGGATACAGCAAATCAGAAAGGCCTCTTTTTCTCAGGAAGCTCCCCTCAAGTTTGCATTCCTACTGCTCGACTCTCAGCACCAACTCAAATCTGCAGACTTTGCCTGTTCCTGCAAGTACACGAGTACGCAAGCAGTAACATTTGCTTCTCATGAACATTTGTGCTAGTAGCACTTCCCTGCACAAATTCTAACAGGAAGCGAAAACAGAAATACGACCAAAGTTCATTCCCCTAAAAGGTGCCATCAAATATTTGTATGTTGATTTGGTAGCCATGGACCAGCTTACACCTGACAGATCAAAAGGGCCGTAAGTGCTGCAGGGTCCAAGCGTGCCGAGCTCTGCACTGCCTCTGGGACTGCCTCTGACACAATCTCTTCTCTACTGTGGTTCACATGCCACCACCACCACCACGGTGCACTGCACCTCTGGCACCCACTAAGGCTTGCATGGTGGTATACTTGGCAAAGCCTAAGCTACTTGTCAGCTGTTTATCTTCTGGAAAACCCAGATTGTTTAAGGATCCATTTGTTTTCCTTTGGGGAAGGGGCTGATGTGTACAAACAAAATAAATCCAAACCACTATCTGCCTCCAGTACAAACTAACAGCTGAAACTCCAGAGATTTTGGATTGCTTCTTGATGTTTTTAGTAGAACGCTCTTTTGAAGCAATGATTTGTTCTGGTATTGGGCGAATTCTGCAGCCCAGCCCATGACCCAAAGGTTGCGCCTCCCAGGACGTGATGGGAAACCAAGTCTAAGGGAAGAGCTGTTCTCACAGAATCACAGAACGTTAGGGATCCAAAGGTTGCGCCTCCCAGGACGTGATGAGAAACCAAGTCTAAGGGGAGAGCTGTTCTCACAGAATCACAGAACCACAGACCATTAGGGATTGGAAGGGACCTC